CCTGACCAGTAGTCTGGAATGTTCTGACACCACCAGAGCTTCCCTCCCCTGGAGCGGGGCTTCCTCCTCCGCCCTGACGGGGAGAAAAGGACTCAGGGTTTCCCGGAGAGGGAAGGCGAGCCGTCCAAGAAATGCTGGGGGACACCCAGACTTTGCTCCCAGACTTTGTTCTGGGCAGCAGCAGGAATGGGGGTGGGGGTGGAGTGCAGTGGGTGAGGCCAGAAGTCAGGTCTGCTGGAGAAAGCAAACATGAAGCCCGGCTGGGAGAGTCTCAGGGCCCTGGGTCCGTCCTCCAGGAGGAAGGAGGAAGAACGTCTACATTTGATTGGCTTCAGAATAGATTTTTGGTTTCTGGTTTTTTGGCTCGTTTTATTTATTTGTATTTTTGGGTAACACCCAGCAATGCTCAGGAGTTACTCCTGATTCTGCATTCAGGAATGACTCCTGGCAGTGCATGGGGGACCCTGTGGAATGCCGGGGATCGAACCTGGGTTGGCCACGTGCAAGGTGAACGCCCTCACCCCTGGACTATCACTCTGGCCCCCAGAATAGATTTTTGTTATTGTTTTGGGTCACACCTGGTGATGCTCAGGGCTCGCTCCTGACTCTGTGCTCAGGAATTACTCCTGGCAGTGCTTGGGGAATCCTATGGGACGCTGAGGATAAGACCCCCGGATAAGCCACGGGCAAGGCAGACGTCTTCACTGCTGTGCTGTCACTCCAGCCCCAGCTTCAGACAAGATTTTTAAATGTCAGAAGAAATAGGACAGCAGGTAAAGCACATGGCTTGCACATAGCCCACCCAGGTTTGATCATGAGTGCTCCATGCTCCCCTGAGCACTGCCAGGAGTTACTCCTGAGCACAGAGCTAGGAGCAGTCCCCGAGCTCCAGCATATGTGGCTCAACACTGCCCCCTACCCCAAAACAACCTAGTGTGGAAACAGGGTATCAGTGTATGGGGCTCAGACACGGAGCTGTGTGAGCCAAGAAGCCACAACTTGGACTTTGTCTGACCCCATAGCCGCTCCTGCCCAAGTCAGCCCAAGCTCAGCCCTCCTGTGCCCGCAGCACACAGAACCCAGTGTACCAGTCACGCTGCATCTACAAATGAGTGGGCCCCAGAGACCCCGTGTCCCTTGGCTCAGCAAGACGCAAGGGGCAGTGAATGGAAAGTCAGTTGCAGGAGCCAGAGCTGATAGTACAGTAGGTATGGCCCTTGCCTTGCACACAGCCGACCTGGGTTTGATCCTGGACATCCCTTATGGTTCCCTGAGCACCGCCAGGAGTAATTTCTGAGTGCAGAGTCAGGAGTAACCCCTGAACATCACCAGGTGTGCCCCCTCCCTAAATAAAAGATCAAAACCACCGCAGATTCCGCCCTCTTCAGCATAGAAATGACATTCACGTGGTCCTCGGTGGGCTTGAGAGGGTTCATCGGGTTGGACACAGGTTTTTGCCTGTGGAGGCCTGGGCTTGGTGCTGAATAACTAAACTGAGCACCTCTGGGGGTGAGTCTGCCTCTCCCCAATAAACACTTGGTTCTTTTTTTTTTTTTGGCTTTTTGGGTCACACCTGGCGATGCACAGGGGCTACTCCTGGCTCTGCACTCAGGAATTACTCCTGGTGGTGCTTGAGGGACCATACGGGATGCTGGAGTTCGAACCCTGACTGCAAGGCAAACATCCTACCACTGTACTATCACTACAGCCCCAGTATTCGGTTATTCCACTGGTGCTCCAGGACTGCTCCCAGCTCTGTGCTCAGGAGTTGCCCCAGTGGTGCTCTGTGACCTACTCAGCTGTCTCGGGCACACACAAGTTCCTGGGCATCGCCCAGGGCAGGCAGGGCTCTCAGCAATCTCGTGCAGAAGCATTACCTTGGTTCTAGGACAAGGATTGGCCTCAATGGGGTCTCATCTCCCACCCCCACTCATGGATTAGGGTGGGGGAGCTCCTCACCTTTGCTGAAGGGATTAAAGGTTCCTTCAGGTGATACTCAGCATGGCTATGCAGACCTGATGCCTTCGTGCTCGGATCAGCTGTCCTCAGGGGACACAGGGCTGTGCCCGCAGTGCTTGGGTGACCGCATGGCACCAGGCCCGAGTGCATGCATGAAAGTCAAGTTCTGGATGCACACGATTATTCAGGGGGGCAGAGGAGAGAGGTTGTGAGCGTGTGTGTGTGTGTGTGTGTGTGTGTGTGTGTGTGTGTGTGTGTGTGTTCGTGTTCCTGTGTACTGGAGAGGCTCTGCATAAGGCCATGATCTACAGAACCTCGCCTAGCAGTGGGGCCCCGATGTCTCCCGTCCAGAGGGCACAGTGGGGGGCAGGCAGAGCCCCACCCTTGCTGCTGTTCAACAGCCCTGACCCGTGACCCGCCAGGGGCCTGGAAACCAGCTGACAGCTCTAGCTTCCTCTGCTCGGCCCCCTCACAGGTCAATAGGGAACAGGAGCTGTGGACCCTGGCCCGCAGACCGCCTCCTTGCCACACGCTGCCCCAGACACAGGCAAGCCCCACTGGGGGTCCCCCAGGAAGAAAGCAGATCTATAGGGAGGGGAGGCAAGGGGCGGCCAGGCCTCGGATCTGGTCCTCGGGGTGGAGCTAGCTACGAGCGTCTCTGGGGCGCAGGACCAGCTTGGCAGCGCTAGGAGGAGCATCTGAGCCGGAAGAGGGTGAGGGGGAAGAGGACCCGGAGAGGAACTTTCCTGACACAAAGGTCAAACACAGCTGGGAAGACCCCTTCTCTCACATGGCTCACTCAGCGACTCGGGACCCTCTCTGGGAGGAGAGCGGGTGAATGTAAATTCCAGTCTCAGCTCTCCCTGTTCATTGTCCACGCCCCCACCAGCAAAAAGGAAGCCCCGTCTAATCCTTTTCCTACTCTCAGCAGAGGGCCTCTCACCCTGGTTTACTCTTCGGAACTGTGGATTGCTTTCTCAAATGTAAATGTTCAGTCACTGCTTTCTCACTGTACCAACCAAACACACACACACACACACACACACACACACACACACACACACACTCTTACATCTTGCAGGATACTGCCTGGCACCTGGTGTGTGTACTAAACATAAATGTTTCCAGAATGAATGCACAGAATGATGCCATGTGCTTTCATCAAACACCCTGAATGCAGCGCTGCTTGTTAACTGTGCTTTAATTTCTGCAACCAGATACGATGCAGTGAAGAGACAAGTATAAACCTTCCATGTACATCCAGAAAATAAAAAGCACATTTACACACTTAGTGAACAGCTTATTCCCTTTTCTTTTTCTTAAAAAAAAAAAAGTCTTGAATGTGATTAAAGCTCATTTCTCTTCAGTGTAAAAACTTGGAGGTATAAACAAACGCGGGCTATCATACACAGTTAATGTACATTTCCAAACTTGCACAGTGTAGCATTTTGAACGAACTCAATGGTCTTGCTTCCGCTTTTACTCCTAAGCATGATCACGGTGCACGCGTGAATAAAAATGTCACAATATACAAACCCACTGAGAAGTCTATACACAAATACAAGCTTATAGAAATCTGAATTCAAATATAAATATGTAAATTGTCATGGCCTTACATGTTACAACAGCTTATTCGTTTTTCTATTATATATATATATATTTCTTAAAACCATAGAAAAATATTTCAATGCACATTCAACTGCTATGACAGGGGCCATGACCTTGTGCCTTTAAACCATACTTTGTGGAGTGGAAGGCGTCACACCGGGCGCTTATGGAATGGAAATGACAGAGATGAGGAGAAAACGGCAGAGGTCACCGACTAATACTGGGTGTGAGCTCCATTGTGTGTTTTGGGGGGGTTGGAGTGGGGGGACGCAGTTAGTGCGAGCTGAAGGGGCCCCCCAGAACCTGGGGACAAGGGCTGACGAGCTCCCCAACTTGCCTCACAGCAAGATTCTTAAGGCAACCCAGACTGGAACTGTGCCTGGCCCCCACCCCCCACCCCTACCCCGCCGGGGTCAGCAGGAGAGGGCAGACAGCACGGCACTTCCCAGACAGAGGCATTCAGTGCAGACGGACAGACTCCTCTCGGCTGATACGTCTCCCCGAGTCCCTTGGCCTTGAGCAACGGAAAGTTTTTCTAGGTGCATAAATAATACGCGGGCTGTGGCCAGAAGGCAAACACTCAGCGAGAACTGAGTCTTCCCGCCTTGGCCCCCACCCTCCCGTGGCGGGGCTGGAACAGGGACCCATTGAGAAGGGGACAAGGGCCCTTACAGGAGCCCTTGGAGGGTGCGTCCAGATGGAGTTGCTTCTATGGCTTGGAGATTGCTGAGGTACTTAACTGTGTGAGAGTCGGGAGTGCTCAGAAGTGGCCCCTCGTGGGAGGGCACTGGGGAGCTGGACAGTGGGGGGGGGGGGGATGAGGGTGATGGTGGTGGGGGCGTCCCATGGGGCTCCCCAGCTGGCCCAGAGAGTCAAAGGCAACTCCTGAACCTCCAGACCCAAGTTCCTCCACGGGGGCTAATCAGAGCAACCCATCCCTCCTAACCCCCCAATCTGATGGCCCCCTGGCTTCGCCAGCAGCAGGAGCAGCAGGACCCAGGACCTGGAGCCCCGGGACAGGGGCGGGCAGAGCCCTGGAGCTGAAAAGCACCCCAGCAAGGGCGGTGCAGCACCCCACCCACCCCAGGACCCCAAAGTGATGGTCTGGAGCACAGGGGACCAGGGTCCAGCTGGCAGTCCGGGAGCCCTGCTCCCGGCAGGAGGCCCGCTGCTGCAGCACCATATCTCAGTGCAAGCCAGGCAGACCTGCGCATGTCCGGCTGTCCGTCTGACCGTCCCCTCGGCACCGCGGGACATGCAGGAGGCCTGCGTTCCCACGTCTACGCCGCCCGGTCTGGGTTGGGACAGCGACGCCCTTCCAGGAACGACGCTGGCAGACGGCAGAGGGCCCAGGGGGTGCCCCCTGGACCAGCCAGGCTCCTGCTCTCATCACCACCACCACCGCCGTCACCGCTGCCGCCGGGAGGCGGGAGGTGCCCGTCACACGTCCCCCAGGTCCACGAACTCGTCCTCCCGCCTGGCCAGGTCGTCCTCGTCGCCCAGGGCCTTCCAGCCGCTGGTGGGCAGCACGGGCTTGCAGGGGTGGCGCGGCTGCGGCAGCGCGAAGGGGAAGAGGGAGGAGAGGCGGGCCGAGTTCCGCAGCAGGCAGGGGCCGGGGGCGAGCGCCGGGGCGGGGCTGGGCGGCCGCGCGGCCACCTTCTCCTGCAGGCTCTGCAGCTCCTCGGCCACCTCCAGCAGTTTGCGCGTGGTGGCCGCGCGCCCGCCGCCCACCACCTGCGCCTCGGGGATCCAGCGCAGGTAGCGCTGCGCCCACACGCGCACCTCGGGGCCGCCCACGCGCGGCAGCAGCAGGCCCTGGTGGGGGTCGGCCGGGCGGCTGTGCCAGGCCTCGTAGAACTCGCGCCACGCGTCCGGCAGCTCGTCCGAGGCGTTGATGAGCTTGCTGATCCTCTTGCCCAGGAGGTTCTTGATGAGGTGATCCGTCTCCTCCCGGAAGAAGCCCCTCTTGGGAGAGGCCTTGGGCTGGGTGAGCGGCAGGGACAGCTGTCGCTGGTGCTAGGAGAGAAAAGACCACGAGGAAACCCGGGGTCGCCCCCGCAGCCCACCCACTGCGCGCCCTCCGGGTTTCATCACCCAAGGAGGAGGCACTGCTGATGTTGGGCCCCGAGGCACGTGTCCCCGGCACTGGGCTGAGAGTCTGGGTGAGTGCCAAATTGGGGGGCACAGGTCCCCTCTCCACCCACTCCCCCTAGGCTCCAGGGCACACAGAGGAAAAATAAGTTCACTTAAGAAGCAGTGAGGGGGCTGGAGCAAGAGCACAGCGGGTAGGGCGTTTGCCTTGCATGTAGTCAACCCGGGTTCGATTCCCAGCATCCCTTATGGTCCCCTGAGCACCGCCAGGGGTGATTCCTGAGTGCAGAGCCAGGAGTAACCCCTGTGCATCGCTGGGTATGACCAAAAAAAAAAAAAAAAAAGGCAGTGAGACACACCCTACCCATACTCCAAAAATTTTTTTAATTAAATTTATTTATTTATTTTGAATACCCATTTCCCACCACCAGGGATCCCAGTATCCCACCCCCCATTCCGTCCCCATCCCACCCTGCCTCTGTGGCAGGGGATTCCCTTTTGTTCTCTCTTTCCTATTCGGTGTTGTGGTTTGTAAATGAGTTAAGCCTGTTTTTCAGGGAGAAACGTTGGAGAATTTACTTTCCATTGACCACTTTATATATAAGAAGATGAGCGGCCGCGCGGTTTGGAGTAAGAGTCCCGGTTCCTGCATAAGCGCATACTCCAAAATTTTACTGCATCATACCGGATAGGGTTCAAAGTAGGAGGCAACTAATCCTAGAGGGAGATACGCATTTGTTTTTACAGCACACAAGGCTCAACCTTTAACAACACCGTTAGTGAAGGGCTTAATGGCCCCTGGGTGAAATACGACAATCTTCACACTCTTTCCTCTAAGGATACTTTTTTGTAGCATTTTTCAGCGGTTTTTCATAACAAATAATATAAAATGTATTATTTCGGTTCTGCTTTGGGGCAGGGATTTAGGTTCGGGATGGAAACATCCGAAATACGGTGGTGGGAAGGTATAATGGTGGTGGGATTGGTGTTTGAATATTAAATGTAATCAAACACCGTGAACTACTTTATAAAATTAAAAAAAAGGTAAAGGTAAAAGTTAAAGGCCCTCCCGTTGTTCGTCGATTTGCTCGAGCGGGCCCAGTAACGTCTCCATTGGAGACTTTGTTGTTACTGTGTCTGGCATATCGAATACTCTCGGTAGCTTGCCGGGCTCTCCGAGAGGGGCGGAGGAATCGAACTCGGGTCGGCCATGTTGGCCGCGTGTAAGGCGAACGCCCTACCCGCTGTGCTATCGCTCCAGCCCAAAATTAAAAAAGTAAAAAATAAAAAAGCAGCATCAGTGAGAGTGGGCCAGGGCGATAGTTCAGTGGGGAGGGCATTTGTCTTGCATGCGGCAGACCTAACATCTCATATGGTCCCCCGAGCACCACCAGGCATGTGTCCCTACCAAAAAAAAAAGGCAGTGTTGATGAGGGCTGGAGAGACCATACGTGGACACAGGGCACTTGCCTTGCACGTGGCTGGCCTAGATTTGATTCCTGGCACCCTGTATGGCACCCCCAATCCTGGGCTCCACCAGGGGTGATTCCTGAGCAGAGCCAGGAGTGAGCCCAGACACCTGGCTGTGGCCCCAGGAACAAACCAGACGGGAAGAGGAGCACTGGTGATCCAAGCGGGTCTGGAGATGACAACAGGCTCATTTTCTTCACCAAGGGCCACCGGTCCCAAACCCGGCAGTACCAGGACAGAACCTGTGGTGCGGGGGATTAAGCTCGGGGCTGTGTGTTCCCCTTCTGACGGGAGTGACTGTTTCCTCCTTTGATTAGTTTCTCCAACAGCTCTGAACAGCCCTGAGGAAACGGCCGTGGAAATGACTCTGTGTGAGCAGGAGGGCGGATTGCGTCCCTCCGAGAGTCCTAAAGATCCCTTCAGACAAAGAGGTGGGCGGGAAAGGGAAGGAACTTGGCTAAGTGGACCAGAGGGTCGTCTGAGCCAAGCTGCAGAGTATGGAATGAGAGGGGCCAGGCCACAGGACAACTGGGAGGGTGTTTGCCTGGAATGTGGCTGACCCAGGTTCGATCCCCGGCATCCCATATGGTCCCCAGTGCACTTCCAGAGTGATGGGTGCAGAGCCAGGAGTAAGCCCTGAGCATCACCGGGCATGGTCCCAAAACAAAACAAAAAGTGAGGATCTACTTTGCCCCACCAGTAATTTGAGCTGCACCCCAAAGGAGGCAAATTTGGGGGTAGAGTATGAAAGGCTGTGAAGATGAGGATTCCCCGAGTCCACGGAGGGTGACATGCCTCTGCTGGTCCTGGGGTACATTCAAACAAGACGAGGGACACTGACAGGGGCCTGCTCCTCGTGAGAGCACTCGCCTTGCTGGGAGAGCCAGGTTCCGTCCCCGGCATTGCACACATACTCACAGGAACAAATATTTGATTTCTGCTAGGGGTTCTTCCTTGTACAGAAGCAATTTTTTATTATAAAGCATTCTGTAGCACTGTATCACTGTCCTCCCGTTGTTCATCGATTTGCTCGAGCGGGCCCAGTAACCTCTCCATTGTGAGACTCGTTGCTACTCTGTTTGGCATATCAAATACGTCACGGGTAGCTTGCCAGGCTTTGCCATGCGGGCAAGATACTCTTGGTAGCTTGCCGGGCTCTCCAAGAGGGGTGGAGGAATCGAACCAGGGTCAGCCAGGTTGGCTGCGTGCAAGGCAAACGCCCTACCTACTGTGCTATCGCTCCAGCCCTAAATTTTTTTTTTTTTCTGGGTGGTGGGGGAATACGTTGGCCACACCTGACGGTGATCAGAGCTGACTCCTGGCTCTGTACTCAGGAATCACCCCTGTCAGGCTGGGGCGGAGGTGGGGGGATGATGTGTGGTGCCGGGAACTAAACCCAGGTGAACACGTGCAAGGCAGCTCCCGACCCGCTGTGCTACGGCTCCAGGTCACATTTTAAATTTTATCATTTTCTTTGTATTAAGGCTTTTTGTGTCACATCCAACGATGCTCAGGGGTTACTCCTGGCTCTGCACTCAGGAATTACTCCTGGTGGTGCTCGGGGGACCATATGAGATGCTGGGGATTGAACCTGGGTTGGCTGCTTGTAAGGCAAACACCCTACCCGCTGTACTATTGCTCCAGTCCCCACATTTAAAATTTTCTTGACATAGAATAACAACAAAATAGAACAAGAGAGCAGGGCCATCCAGTCCCAGCTCAGAGATGGCCAGGGCTCCTGCCCTTCCATCTGGGGGACAGGAGGGGCCAGCAGGACAGGGACCCAGGGTTCAGATGGGAGTGCCCACTGACTGCTCATGTCTCACTGCACTCCTGGCCTCAACTTAACCTTTTTTTTTTTTTTTTGCTCTTTGGGTCACACCCAGCGATGCTCAGGGGTTGTTCCTGGCTCTGCACTCAGGAATTACTCCGGGCAGTGCTCGGGGGACCATACGGGATGCTGGGGATCAAACCCTCGGCCGCGTGCACGGCAAACACCCTCCCTGCTGTGCTATCGCTCCGGCCCCAACTTAACCTTTTTTAAAGGTCACTATTACTGCTTCATTTTACAGAAGAGGAAACTGAGGCTCAGAGGTTCAATCTGCAGAGCCCAGGATCACATGGTGGTCTCCTGGGCTGGTCTCTGAGCACTGTTTATGGCTCAGCCCCAGCTGCCGGTCACTGTATAGCTTTCTACAGGAGTCTGTTCCACTCCACACAGCACCCTGACTTCTGTCCACTTTACACAGCACCCCAACCTCTGTCCATTCTGCATGGTGCCCCTAACCTCTGCCACATGGCGCCCCTGACTTGGCACCCAACCTATGTCTACTCGACACAGGTGTCTGTCCACCCCACACAGCACCCCTGACCTCTGTCCACCCCACACAGGCACTTACAGGCACTTGTGACCTATGTCCACCCCACCCGGGCACCCCAACCTCTGTCTGCTGGTTCCTCCAACCTGAGACCCCGCAGGCCCAGCCTCCCCACCGGGGCTGCAGAGAGAGGGAACCGTCTGACGGGGTGGGGGGCTGCCTTCACAGCGCGGGGGTAACAGGTAGTAAGGTGCCACTAAGGCCCTGCTCCCAAAAGCGCCTCTCTGGCAGTGCTCAAGATCTCCACAGGCGCTCCATGCACTTGTGGTCTGCAGCCAGCAGGGGGCGCAGCCCACACTGGTGGGAACAGTGGCTGGTGGTGTCGGGAACCCCGGGCCTGGGAGACGTGGGGGGCTCTGGAGTGGGGGTGGGGCTGGGAGTGCACCTCCCCCTGGGCCAGGCTGAGTGAAGCTGGAGTGAAGCTGCGGGAGCCCCGGCTCCTGAGGCTCCTGGGGCAGGGCCGCCGCGGCAGACTGGTGCCCCCTTCTCTCCCTTCCCCCCCTTCCCCGGGGGTGCATGGCCATCTTACCTTGCAGCGCGACCCCCTCCGCGGGCCCTTGTCTGGCTTCGGCTTCTCGGTGTACAGAGGGTTTTTGAGTAACAGCTGGGCTTTGGGCTCAAACTGCACGGACCAGTCCCACACGGAGAGCTGGGCTGGGGGCCTGCCCGGGGCCTCTGGGCTTTCCCTGCCCTGCCAGGAAAGAAACACAGGCCAGTTGGCACTGGAACTCTGTAGGGGCCAGGGGAGAGCCTGCCGGGGAAGGGGGCAATTAGGTGACAGCCTGCATGGGGGCGCAGATGAGAGACAGCACAGGGGGTAGCTGAGGATCTGCGTGGGGCACAGTCAGGATGGGGGGACAGCCAGTCACAGCCCTGGACCCTCCCCACAGCTGCACGATGCTCTGATTCCTGATTGGAGGCAAGGAAACAGGCTGAGAAGCCGTGGGGCGGGAGGGCGTTGGGGAGGCCGCGGGGGTTCCCCACTGAGCTGGGGGGTTTGGGTCAACCACTCCAGGAAGGGCAGCCCCTGTCACAGCATCAGGGCCAGACAGCGAGCCCGGGGTTCCGGGGAGGGGCGCTCACCAGGTTCGCGTCTTTCTGATGCGGCGAATTGAAGAAGAAGGTGCTGAAGATGGGGAGGTAGAGGCTGTCGGAGAGCACCGTCAGGTACGTCTCCGTGAACTCGAAGGCGGGCGGGTGCTGGCTCACCAGCTGCCACACGCAGTCCAGGAAGAGCAGGAACACAGGCACCTGAGGCAGGCGGACACAGTTCAGCAGGAGGGCCCCAAGGGCCAGGCCAGAGGCCCAGGGTGCACGGGGCAGGCCACTGCCTGGGCTGGGCTGGGGGTGGGGGGCAAGGGGGCATCTTCTGCGCCTGCAGCTGATGGGCCTGGGAGGGAGATCGAGTCCCGGCTTCTCACCACAGCATGCAATCCCTAAACCCCTTGAATTCTTTTCCGTGCTGTGGGTGACTCCCTCTCCCCTGGCCTCAGGGGGGCCTGGGGGAAAGGACTGGAAAGGAAGCACAGCAGCAGAGACACGGGCGCAGCTCTGCACACAAGCCTTCCTCCCCAGCACACCAGGGCCGGGCCTCTCTGCCCGCAGCCGCACGCCCCAGAGGGGAGCCAGACACCAGTGCCGGGCAGGGGTGCCCTCGAAGAAGCCCACAGGGCTCCGGCTCCATACACCCGCCTGTCCGTGAGGAGATGCGACTGCGGCAGTCCATGGCAAGCGTCAGGCTTAATCAACAAGTGGTGCAAAGCAGGGGTCCTGTTGCTACAGTGAGTAGCATGGACCCCAAGTGGGGGGATCTCTCCACGGGGCGGGGGTTAGCAGAATCAGATCTCCCAGAAGGGGTTCCTGATATCCCCTTCCTAAGTCACCAATGAAGTCTGACTCCTCTTGTTGGGTTTCATGTCCGTGTAGAAGGGATTCATGTACTGGGGCCAGAGTGATAGCACAGCGAGTGGGGCACCTGCCTTGCCAGCGGCTGATCCGGGGTTCGATCCCTGGCATCCCACGTGTTCCCCCAAACCCCATCCAGAGTGAGGAATAAGCCCTGGGCATTGGCAGATATGGACCCCAAGGAACTAACAACAACTCGAATCTTGGGGCCGGAGCGATAGTACAGAGGGGAGGGTGTTTGCCTTGCACACGGCTGACCCGGGTTCGATTTCCAGCATCTCATATGGTCCCCTGAGCACGACCAGGAGTAATTCCTGAGTGCAGAGCCAGGAGTAAGCCCTGAGCATCGCTGGGTGTGACCCCCTCCTCCCCCTCCACCCTCCACAACCTTGTATCTCAGACAGTCTTTCCCAAACTGAAAGATGGAGGTGTCCACTCAGCTCAATAGGCTGGGGAGGACCACAGCGGCCTGCATCCCCGAGAGCGGCCACGTCACTGCAGGCCAGAGCCAGGCACCCTCTTCTGGGGTGCCTACACACAGGCTGGTTGGCATGTGGCAGCTTGGGGGTGTCGGTACTAGGCAGAGCGCCCCTACCGGGACTCACTCCTCCCACAAGCACCAGCTGCGTGCACAGCTGCACAAGGGGGCTGAGGCCCAGACAAGCCTGCTACGGGCTGCTGGGGGCTTCCTGGCACCAACCAGGATGCAAACTCTCCTATATGTGTGTGAAGGTGCAAGCCTGGAGCAAGCACCAGGGCCAGCAGGTGGAGGAGGCCATGGGCCCTGCTCCTCACCACAGACACTAGCACCCCAGAACAGCCGGGGCCACATGGCCCGAGGCTTCCTCTCAACAGGCCGATGCACTAGGAAGGGGCACTCATGGGAGGATGCATCTGTGAGACCTGAGTTCTTACTGACGTTTCCTTTCATTTGCGGCATCTGGAATCAAAGCCAGGACCTCAGACATGTGAAACATCTGGTCTACCACTGAGTTGCCTACACCCCAGCCCCCCCCGCCATATGTTTGCAAAAAAAAAAAATTATGCAATGTGTGTATAGAGTATATATAGTCTCTGTATATAAACAGTACATATAGTGTGTGCACATATACTGTTTTTATAGTGTGTATAATGTGTGTGTATATATACGTATAGATACTGTATAGTATATACCTAGTATATATATATAGCGTACATAGTGTACATGGTGTGTGCACATACACTGTGTGTATATAGTGTGTATAATGCATATATACTGTATAGTATATATCTAGTACATAGTGTACACAGTGTATATAGTGTGTGCACATACACTGTATACAGTGTATAATATTATACTGTATTGTATATATCTAGTACATACACAGTGTACATAGTGTGTATGGTGTGTGCACCTACACTGTGTATATAGTATGTATACTGTATATATGCTGTATAGTATATATCTAGTACATACAGTGTACATAGTGTGTGCACATACATTGTGTGTAGTATGTATAATGCATATATACTATATAGTATATATCTAGTACATAGTGTACATAGTGCATATAATATGTGTACATACATTGTGTGTATATAGTGTGTGTAATGTATATGTATGTATAGATACTGCATAGTATATATCTAGTGCATATATAGTGTACATAGTGTATATAGTGTGTATATATATATACAGTGTATATATGTGTGCACATGTATAGTTTGGATATACATAGTTTGCAAGTACAATGCATACGTGTATATGTCTATATACATTCACATGCACAATACACACACACACACATACACACACACACACACACATATATAGTATGGGGCTGTAGCCAGCAGTGCTCAGGCTTACTCCTGGTTCTGCACTCAGGACTTACTGCTCCTGGTGGGGCTCAGGGGAGTGACCATACGGGGTGCCGGGGACTGAATCCGGGTCAGCCACGTGTCAGAAGGTGCCCTGCCCATTGTACTGTCTCTGGCCCTATAGCTAGAACTGAAGTCGTCTCTCTCCCAAGTGAGTCTGTGCTGGTTCTGTTTGGGGGCCAGTCTTGCCAGTGCCACGTGGTACCAGGCATGCATGAGCCTGTCACTCTCCCCCCCACACCCCCCCTCCCCTGACCAGCAGACACTCCAGCCCTCAGTCCCTTCCCAAGTCAGGTTCGCTTCGGTTTCACAGACCCACGTGACTGCCGCCTGGAGGCCCAGTTCCCAGCCCAGCAGGTGTGGACCGGTGGACACGGGGACACAGGCCCTGGCGCCCCTCTTCAATGTGCCCAGAGGGCGGCAGTGACGTGGGCGGGGATGGAGGGGGGCGGCTTACCTCCACCTTGTCACTCTGGCGCAGGTGGTTGCAGCGGTCCAGGAAACAGTGCCCGCCCATGACCCACTCCTTCTGGATGAGGCTCTGGAAGCCCCCCATGGTCCTGCAGTGGGGGTCCATCATCACTTGCACCAGCGAGGACAGGAGGCAGCAGAGGTCGGAAGCATTCTCCTCTAGGGGGCGCCACAGAGCCGGGCGTGGGGAATGGGTGGAGGGGAGAGGGTGTGAGTGTCACTGCAGCATCATTGGGGTGACCCGGGAGGTCTACCTGAGCACGGCTGGGGTGTGCCGGGTACCCCCTGGCGCCACAGGGTCCAAGCAGTGCCACATCCCAGGCTTGATCCCCAGCTTGATCCCCATATGGTCCCCTGAGCACTGTCGGGCGTGGCCCCAAACTAAGTCAGTCAGACAGAGGCGACAGGGGTTCCGGGAGGCGCGCGCACTCTCGGCGTCAGGCCACGCCACTGAGCTGCTGTTTCCCGGCTGGCTGCCCACCGCCGGGCGCCTGAAACCTCCTGGCCAAGCTCTGCTCCTTGCTGCCACAGTTTCTCCTCCCACCCTTCCTCTGCGGGACGGGAAGTGCTTTTAAAAAAAAGGCACTTTTTATTGTCGTTTTTAATAATGTGCGGCGGGGCACCCAGAGCTAGAGCAGAGCAGCTCTGCACAGGGCAGACCTGGGTTCAATTCCCAGCACCTCATGTGGTTGTCCAACATTACCAGGAGTGATTCTTGAGCACAGAAAGCAAGGAGTACTCTGAGCACCACAAGGTGAGGCCCCACAACCAAAAAAACAAACTATTTTTAAAAATTACTTTATTATTATTATTATTATTTTGGTCACACCAGTGATGCTCAGGGGTTACTCCTGGCTCTGCATTCAGGGGTTACTCCTGGCTGGCAGTATTTGGGGGACCGTATGGGATGCCGGGGATTGAATCTGGGTCAGCCACGTGCAAGGCAAGCACCCTCCCCACTGTACTATTGCTCCAGCTCCTCATTTTTTTTCTTTTTGGGTCACAGCCAGCAATACTCAGGGGTTACTCCTGACTCTATACTCAGGAATTAGTTCTGGCAGTGCTAGGGGTTGATATGGGATGCTGGGGATCAAACCCGGGTCAGCCACGTGCAAGGCAAACGCCCTTCCCGCTGTACTACTGCTCCAAACCCCCATTTTTTTTCAAGTATGAGACCTGTTGAGGCCACTGCACCCTCAAGCACAGGCACGGTGTGCTGGTCCCCGGGGCTGTGCTTTCAGAACCCCAATCTCTTTTCGTTGGCTCTGGTTTTGAGACCACACCCAGGACTGCTGGTGTGGTACTCTCAGTTCAGTACTCGAGGATCATTCCAAGGGTTCATGGAGGACCACGCAGGGCGCAAAAAAGACCACGTACAAGGCAAGCGCCTTACCCCCGTGCAATACAATAAAAGCATACTTTAGATCCCACCAAGTTTAGTAAACATAAACCAACTCTCAAATGCAGGCTGGTGCCGAGGCCCCACAGCAGAGCACCTGCCGTGCATGTGCCAGAGTCTTGGGTCTGATCCCCAGCATGGCACACACTTGATGTCAAGAAATGCGGGCTTGCACTGGAGTGCAGTAGCACAGCAGGTAGGGCCTTTGCCTTGCACACAGCTGGCCCGGGTTCAATCCCCGGCAACCTACAAGGTCCCCTGAGCACCTCCAGGACTAATTCCTGAGTGTAGAGCCAGGAGTAACCCCTGAGTAAAGAAAGAAAGAAAGAGAGAGAGAAAGAGAGAAAGAGAGAAAGGGAGAGAGAAAGAGAGAAAGAAAGAAAAAAGAAAGAAAGAAAGAAAGAAAGAAAGAAAGAAAGAAAGAAAGAAAGAAAGGTGAGCTTGGGCCGGAGTGACAGGAGCAGGGAGGGCATTTGCCTTGCATGCGGCTGACCCAAGTTCGATCCCCGGCCATCCCAGATGGTCCCTGAGCACCACCAGGAGTAATTCCGCTGTACTACTGCCCCAGCGCTAAGAACTGTCCCGGTGCCAGGTGTGACCCAAAAGCCAAAAAAAAAAAAAACCAAAAACCAAAAACCAAGAATGGGCTTGGCAGAGACACACATTTTCTGGCTGGGCTGCCAGTTGGGTCCCCAAGCTCAAGCGGGTGGAAGGATTTGCTTTAAAGTATGAACACTAAAATCTGATATAAACAATGCCAGGTAGGGGTAGGGGAGAACCAGGAGAAATCCTGGATTGCTGCTCTAGCTCGCCCGATTTACCGGACAGTCCCAAGTACCAAGGAGCTGTGGGCTCGCCCCCTGCCCCCTCGAAGTCCCGCAGGTGACCCGGAAGCACAGCTCCGGGGGCTCTTCTCACCCCCACCCCAAATTAAACATCAAATGTATTACCTACAAGAAGAACGTTCATGTTCTGGGCTTCGAGACACGCTACAATCTCGATGGCTTTTTTCAGGCAACGTCTGAATCAGAAAGAGACAGAAAAGAATATTAGTTTGTTCTTCTGTATTTTGTTTTTCACTTTGGGTTACATCCGGCGATGCTCAGGGGTTACTCCTGGCTCTGCACTCAGGAATTACTCCTTGCAGTGCTTGGGGAAACATACGGGATGCTGGGGATTGAACCTGGGTCAGCCGCGTGCAAGGCAGACGCCCTACCTGTGAACATATTGCTCAGGCCCCAAGAACATTAGTTTTTGAACCTGCTGTCATAGACTGAGGGGCTCTGATTGCTGCTTTTATTTTTTTTTAAATGTAGGAGTACTGCTATTTATTCAGCCATTGCTTAAGCTGGCTGAATTGGGCATGAACTCCACGATTGCTGCTTTCTACCTCAATTTTTTTTTCCCACGATAAAACCTTCCAGGAAAGAAACAAATGACCATTTATATCTGAAACTGGAAGACATTCATTCACATATTAGAAATGCAAAATTATTCAGTAGGTTGAAGTTAAAAAAAAAAAAAACTCTCCTGTGAGGCCAGAAACAGGACAGACTTGTACATCTGACCCCGCCTGGATCCCTGGCAACCCAACGGGTCCCCTGAGTCATGCCAGGAGTGATCCCTGAGCACAGAGCCAGGAGTAACGTCCTGAAGTACCAAACGGGTGTGGCCTGCCACCTTCCCCACACCCCATGCAAATGCTCCTTGGTAACTGCTAAGCTAGGGACCGAAACCCTGGCTCTCAGCCAAGAAGGGCAGGTGAGCTACACCCACTGCCATCTGCTCTAGACACTGGCCTTGAGAGCTCAGAACCGAGTGGGCTGCTGTCCCGGCTGGCCCCGGAGAGGCCGGTGCTGCAGGCTGGACTGTGGAAGCCCAGATCACGGGGCAAAAATGTCCAGCAGTCCCTTTATCTCTCTCCAGACTCAACTTCCTGGGAGATGGTGGCTACCCCCTACAGCTTGGGCTTCTCTAGTGACAACAAGGGGGCTGCTGGGACCATCTCCCCCATGCCCATTTTTCATCTGGTGGGCGGGGGGGGGGGGTCACAGCAGCTGTGCGAGGAAGTGTGGGATGCCAATGAGAGGAGGCACTGCAGGGTTGGGGGTTTGTCCCCCGGCACCTCTGGGCATCTTCTCCCCTTGAGAAGGGTACAGGGAAGGGCCCTTCAGTCCGCCTGGTACGGACAGGAAATGCACAGCTCAAGGTGGGTGGCAAAGGCCCTTCTTCAGGGATGCAAGGGCCGAGCACGGCCACTAGGCAGGGAGAGACAGGTGGGCCGGGTCCACGGGGCGCAGTCTCTGGCATTGCTGGATGAAGCCCTTCCTCAGCACCCCCCCCCAATAAGCAAACGAGAGTGGGAAAGAGACGGTGCCAGAGCACGGGCCGTGTGTGCCCGACGCCCAGTTCAGGTCCGGGCTGCTGGGTGTGGCCCAGCCCCAGCGCCTCTGTTCCCCAGACCTCACTTGGTGGCAGCCTCGTTTTGTCGTTATTTTAGGGCCACGAGAACAAGCTAGAGGAACATTTCTCAGTCTTTTCCTGTAACTTTTTTGTTGTTGTCTGTACTCTGGGCCATAGCAGGCTGTGCTCAGGGCTGACTCCTGGTTCAGTGCTCAGTGCTGGTGGGCCCTCTGGGGAACCCTGCGGGGTGCCAGGGATGGGAACTAGGGCAGCCGTGTGCTAGGCAGATGCCCTCCCCGCTGTGCTCTCTTAGGCCCTCTCCATCTTTTTTTTTTTTTTTTTGGTCACCACAGGCCCCTTCTAACCAAGTTTCCTTCCTCTGGACCCCCAAGGCTTATGCTGTGTCCCCACAACTATATGATCTTCCCCTGCGGCCCCGGGGGGCAGCTCTCGGGGCAGGTTGCTTGCCAGTGAAGTCTGATCCGACAAGCACAGAAATAAGAAACCACGAGTGTAAAATCCCCGGCACGTGATTTTCAAAGCCTAAAACGGAAAAAACACCCCCAAGTCAGAGTCGGGTGATTCGTTGCCCGGGGTTGCAGCTCAAAAAGTAGAGGCCCTGGGCTCATAAACGACTCTGGCACTTGTGGGCTGGGCTCGCTGGAGAGAACTGGAGGGCTGCCCCATCCCTGAGCGAGACTACGGTCCGAAAGGAATACCTGACGATGTCGAGCCAGCTGCTGCTCTCCAAGAGAGAAAACCACTTTATATCCGTGTCCCAAAATTCACTGCTGTTGTCTGGAAAGAGAGCAAATGGAGAAAGGTGAGGACACGGGTGGTGCTCGCTGCTCCCCGGGAGCCCCTGTGAAAGCAGCTAAGTCCGAGCCCACATCTGGCTCACCCACGGGGGGGGGGGGGGGGGGGGGGGGGGGGCGGGGTTTGCACAGGAAGCCCCAGACGGGTTCTCAGGCTGCAAGGCTGACAAGAGTAGGCACAGCCGGCATCCATTCCCCCGACATCCAAGCTGGCTGCAGGCTGGGAGGGGAGTCAGGGAAGGCAGCCTGCCCCCTTGGGGGGCCTGAGGACCCGGAGCCTTCCCAAGCCCTGGGGGCACAGAGAGCATATGTAATGCCTGGCTGTGTCCAGCTGCCGAGGGCCCGCACTCCTGTCCGGTGCCCCCCAACTCCTGACTGTGACAGAGAGGGGACTGCCCTGGGCAGACGGACAGCCGGGAACCTGAGCCTATGGCATGGCTCAGAGCAGTGTCCAAAGGCCTGCACTATTCCCCTGGGCCCTGGTGAGATGGCCCAGGGGTCACCCCGGACAACTGTTGGGAAAAGGAGGGAGAGGATGGTGTGTGTGTGTGTGTGTGTGTGTGTGTGTATGTGTGTGTGTGTGCGTGTGTGTATGTGTATATGTGCAAATGTATGTGTATGTGTGTGTGTGCACGTGTGTATGTGTGTAGTGGGGAAAAGGAGGGAGAGATGGGGGTGTGTATGTATGTATACGTGTGTACGTGTGCATGTGTGTGTTTGTATATGTGTGAGTGCATGTGTGTATGTCTGTGTGCATGTGTGTGGCAAGGAAAAGGAGGGAGAGGATGAGGTGTATGTTGTTGTTTGTATGTGCGTGCGTGTGTGTTGTGTGTTGTTTGTACGTGCGTGCGTGTGTGTGTGTGTGTGTATATGCGTGCATGCGTGTGGGGGGGCAGGGTCCATGGCAGTGAGAGAAAGGCCTGGTGGATGCTGAGAGGGAGGGCCGCAATAGCTGCTGGGCCCAGGCCAGCCCCCACTGCAGCTCGCTGACCCCGAGGCCCTGGGCATGTCGGGCCCCACAGGACGGGGAGTAACGACCCTGGAGGCGGTGGGCACCTGCTCCCCCCCACGCGGGCGGCACACCCCACCCGCTGGCAGAATGGCTGGGCTGCTCGTCTCACCGATCAGGAAGAGCTGCTTGAACTTGGAGTACGCCACCTGGATCTCCTGCAGGGACAGGAAGCTGCTCGAGAGATCTTCCGTTCTCACGACTTCGTAGGGTGGCCTGTGGATGGTCCTGTAGATCCTGGGCATTTAAGAGAGCGGAACGGGAGCCCCTCAGAGCAAGCTGGGAGCAGAGGGAGCCTGCTCTCCTGCGTCCCCACTACACAGCAGGCTGGCGAGTAGCCCCTTGCCCCCAGCGCCCCTACCCGGCGCCAAGGGGTGGAAGTGAGGTGGGGTGCCAGGACTTCCTGCCCGAGATTATGGGGGTTCACGACTGAGGGGTCTTGACCGGAAGCCACCCTCACCCCAGAGCTGTCTCCTTCACCCACTCTGGGTTCTGTTCTCGCTTAACTTCCTGTTCCAGACGACTTCTGAGAGGCGTGAGGGCAGAGTGGCACAGTGACACATACCCTCACCGCATCACCCACACGTGGCCGTTCCCCATGTCACGCCACCACCAACCCCCGCCCCCGCCCCCGATACTTCAGGGTGCAGCTCTGTGGCCCACATTAGCAGCCACTCTCAACGGCTCCCTGGCCTCAGAGTGCACACAAAGCAGGCGCTGGGGGTTCTGCTCTTCCCCCAGCCCCTCTTTCCGTGACGCCCGGGGCATGGGACTGTGGCATGCTCCTGGGGACACTCCCCCAGCTGTACTCATGGCTGGGCACAGGCTTTCCAGGGGCACACAGACACGAGGCCCCGGGGAACAGGAGAACGGAGCTGAACACGGACAGGATCTCGGATGGCACTGACCCGTCCAAGAAGCTCTTCTGGATCTGCAGCAGGCCATCGTCCTGTTCTTTGGGCAACGCTGACATCTTCAAGAGGGCACATCCATTGTGGCAGGACCAGCACCAGATCTGCAGGGGAAAGGAGCGTGCCCGCCAGTCATGCCGCAGCTGGCCAGCAGGGGGCGGAGCAGCCCGGCAGTTCAGGGACTCACGGGAACCAACCCCTCTAGCACAGTTGGACTTAGACAGGCAGAGTCAAGCGGTTGCCATGAAAAAGGCAGATTCGGTCTTTGAAAACCAGAGTGGAACACCACCTAAACACCAACCAAGACACACTAAACACTAAGCAACACACCCTAAATATGAACATAACCTAAACACTAACACAATGTAAACACCAACCAACATACCCTAAACACCAACACAACCTAAACACCAACAGAACCTAAATACTAACACAACCTAAACACCAACCAACACACCCTAATCACTAATCAATATACCCTGAACACTAACACAACCTAAACACTGTCACTGTCTTCCCATTATTCATCAATTTGCTCAAGCGGGCCCAGTAACATCTCCATTGTGAGACTTGTTACTGTGTTTGGCATATCGAATATGCCATGGGTAGCTTGCCCGGCATTGCCCTATGGGTGGGATAGTCTCAGTAGCTTGCTGGACGCTCCAAGAGGGGCAGAGGAATCGAACCCGGGTCAGTCGGGTCGGCTGCGTGCAAGGCGAACGCCCTACCCACTGTGCTATCGCTCCAGCCCAACCTAAATACTAATACACTCTAAACACCAACCAAAGGATGTCATGTTCAAACTGGTGTGAGTTTCTGTGTGCAAAAGTCAACCCCGTGAGCAACACCCGGGGGTGCTTCTCTTTCCTCTCTGGCCCCCAGGCCCCCAGCGGGTGCTGAGCGAGCAGAAGGAGCAAAGGCAGGTGGGGCTGGGGGCTGACCCAGCCACCAGCCGCATCCCAGCCCGGGTCCCTCAGTTTCGAAGAAGGCACCAGGGATCCAGGCGCAGAGGGTCTCGGAAGTGCCACTCTAAACCAAAGGTGGTGCCGTGGCGGGGGGAGGGGGGCCAGGCACGATCAGGTCTCTTACTCGTTCCCCCAGCTTCAGACTTGGAGGACTATTCGGAAAACCCACCTAAGATCCATGTTTCCGGGCTTCTCTGGAGAAGTCTGGGGGCCGCTGGCAGAACCCAGCTGACACAGAGGGACCCTCTAGCCCACACGAGTCCTGGGGGAGTCCCGATATCCCCACTGGGGCTCTCTCTCAGGTGGTCCCCTTCCCAGCAAAGCTCACCTGGCCCCAGGTGTCTCCCAGCACCCACGGGTAGCAGCTAACTGCCAGAGTCCTGCCATCTCTCACCCGGGACATGCTAAGGCATCATCCACCCCAGCCTCTTCCCTGCGGGCCACGCCCCACACAAATGGGAGAGAGACCAACGCAGCCCCTAAGCCTTGCTCAGCTCAGTTTCACAATGACGAAGAGGGAGGGGGGGGCGGGGGGTTGGGTGCCAGGCCTGCACATGGCCACGGTCTGGCTTGATCCCTGATAACACACATGATACCTGTGCACTGCCAGGTGTGACTCCCAAGCCCAGAACGAGCCACACGTGGGCTCAGGCCGGCGCTTCCCAAGCTCTTTAAGGGAGGCTGGGCTGGGGGCTGCGGGGGGCCCGGTCCAGAAAAGGCAACTCTGTTTAGGGGTGCCCCCCCGCCCCCTGGCAGGCCTGAGTCCAAGGCGCTCCTCTAGGGGACCTGTCCCGTGCAGAGCACAGAGCCACCTGGGCCCCCGAAGCTTACTTACTGGTAAGCCGTGGCCCTGAAAGCGCGGCATCTCGTCTTCGGAGAGGGCGGTGGGGACCACAAAGTGGGCCGGCAACCTGGAAAAGAGGGGTGCCATCAGCTCCCGTGCTCTACAGGCCCGCTGGGCCAGGCACATGGGCCACCTCCACCCACGTGCCGCTGGGCACCTTGCTTCCGCCCCTGGCTCTGGCCCCGCCCTGTGCCACCCTCCCTGTGCTGGCCTCCTCTCTGCGAGGACGGGGGTGGGGGGTGGGGGGCGGAGGACTTCCTCCTCTGGGCCGAGAGGTCAGTAGCACGCGTGAGGTCTCAAGCTCAGCGATGCCAGGGGCCGGAGCAGGGGAGGATATTTGCCTCGCCTTCTGCTGCCAGCCTGGATTCTGATCCCCAACACCCCGTATGGCCCCCTGATGCCACTAGGAGGGATTCCCCAGCACAGGGCTAGGAGTAAGCCCCGAGCACCGCTCGGTGTGGCCCCAAGACCAAAAAGAGTATCAAGTGGAGCCATCCCAAAGGAGTGAGTGCCCATTCCCACTGCCTGGCCCCTGCAGAGGGCCCCGCAGTGTGGCTTTCAGGGGCTCAGAAGAAGACCCGGGATGGGGGCCGGAGCAATAGTCCAGCAGGCAGGGAGTTTGTCTTGCGTGTGGCTCACCCGGGTTCGATCCCCGGCATCCCATATAGTCCCTCGAGAACCAACAGGAGTGGTTCCCGAGTGCTGAGACAGAAGTCACCCTTGAGCATCGCTGGATGTGACTCAAAAAGAAAAAGAAAAAAAAACAAACAAAAAAAATTCGGGATTAAACCTAGGCTGGGAAGGGGGGGGCACAAAGCCCCCCCCCACTACTTCCTGGATGTATCCCTGAGGCCCCACTGGGTATGGCCCAGGTGGCACTGGGCACAGCTGGGCCTGAGGGAAACTGTGCTGCCAGGCCAGAGCAGTGAACGCTGGAACAGGCCGTGCAGAAAGGGACTCCCAGACCTCCGAGCACTGTCTGGGAGGCTCCCCCACCTCCACCCCTACAGGATGGTGGGGGCCGCCCAGTGTTGGATCAGCTGCTCTGGCAGCAGGCACTTAAGTGCTTCCCGTCTGCCGGGCGCTGCTCTGGGTGTGCCCCTCCCACAGCCCGGGTCAGCCCGGCCTCCCCCGTCTCTCTCGGGGATAGCGATGCATAGCGCAGACGCACACAACGCATCCCCGGCGGTGCTCAGGGCTTACTCCCTGCTCTGCACGCAGGGGTCCCTCCTGGTGGGGCTCAGGGAGCCATGGGGGATGCCAGGGATGGATCCCAGGTGGGCCGCGTGCCCTCCCATCTGTGCTATCTCTCTAGCCGCCAGAAGCAGTGCCCTTCGAGGGCCGGGGGCTCAGGAGCCATGTGGACAGATTCCAGCTCCTACGGGAGTGAAGTAGGGTTCTTAAGGCAGTGAGCCCGCGGTCCGGAGAGACAGCTCTGGGCCTGCTAGTTCAATCCTAGCACGGTCCACCAAGCACCCTGAGGGGGGACATCCCCCCACCAATGCCAATGGGTGAGGCCCAAATATAACGTAAAATTATCTTCTTAGTCGATCAGGGCTGGAGGAAATAGTACAGCAGATAGGGAGCACGCCCTGCATGTGGCTGGCCCGGGTTCAATTCCTGGAACCCCAGGTGGGACCCCAAAGTACCACCAGGGGTGAGCCAGGAGTATCCCCTGAGCACTGCTGGGGTGGTCCCAAAACAAAACAAAACAATCTTCTTTGCTGACATTTGTAACCACTTTAATATCATCCTCCGAAAAATAAAGACTGGGGGGGAAAAAAAAAGGCTGTGGTACCAGCACACAACTGCACACTGCAAGGGTTCCATTCACTGGCACCCTGCATGCCAGTGACCTCGGTTCAAATCCCCGGCACCCCATCTGTTCCCGAGTACCCAGGAGTTAGCCCTGAATGCAGTCAGGAGTGAGCCCTGGGCACCGCCGGGTGTGTCCCAGGAGTTACCCTTCCCCACCTCACCTCCCCACCCCCCAATAAAATTAGAAACGAACAGCTGAGCCTGGGAGTCAGAGCATGGTCAGAAGTGGGGTCCCACCCTTTGACCACCACCACCACCAGCTGCCTCGGGCTTTCCCTCCCGGTGCCCCCAGAAGAGTGTTGGGGGAGGCAGGCAGGGAGGGAGGGAGGATGTCCACCTGCTCCTCACGGCCATCCCCGTCACTGCTGGGACAGGGCATTGGGAGGTTACCCCAAGCAAAGCCGGCCCACAAAAGGGGCGTCAGTGCCCTGAACACGGAAAGACCCGACAAAGGAAGATCTTGGCCAAGCCGTGAGCAGGAAGCCGGGAGGCGTGTCCCTACATGGTAGAAGCCGACTTCTAAAGGAGGATGGTGCTGGCTGAGCCTAAAAATGTGCCCGCCAGCCACCGCCACTCTCTGGGCCAGATGCCCCGCACAAGCAGGGCAGGGTTCCGCCTCAGGCGGTGCCCTCCCGTGCCCAGGAGCTCCCACTCGACCCACTGGCTCAGACCCCGCCAAGGGGGCTGCCTGTCCTAGCCAGCAGCACCCCGACTCCCAAGGCTGCATCTGTGGGCTCCCCACTCGTGTCTGTCCTGTGCTGCGAGGCATGGTTCTTGCTACGCCAGGATGGGGGCTGCAGGAAGGTAGGGTCCCAGGTTTGGGCGCTGGTGTGGAGGGCAGGGAAGGGGCCCGCCCCGCCGCGTGGGTGGCGCGTGGGGGGCGTGGCCGGCGCACAGCGCAGAGCTGAGGCCTCCCAAAGTCTCCGGCTCGGGGTAAGGTGGCCATGAGGGGAGAAACAAGCGGACTCACTTCCCCACCCCCTTATTTTTGTTGCTTCTTTGGGCCACACCCGGAGGGTCTCAAAGCTTACTCCTGGCTCGGGTATCTCTCCGGGAGGGGCTCAGGGACCCTATGGGGTACCTGGGATGGAACCCGGGTCGGCCACGTACAAGGCAGGCGCTCTAGCCACTGCGCTCTCTGGCTCCACAAGCTCATTTTTGAGTATTTTAAGGGGCAGTTTCTTTAAAAAAGAAAAATGGGGGAAAAGGAGACAGAGCACAGCGGGTAGGGGGCTTGCCTTGCATGAATCCCCAACATCCCACACGGTCCTCCAAGCACCACGAGGTGCAATTCCTGATTGTAGATCCAGGACTAACTAACTAACCCTGAGGACTGCCAGGTGCTGCTTAAAAAAAAAAAAAAAAAGCAAAAACAAGGACGAGAGAGATGTTACTGGGGTTAAGGTGCTTGCTTTGCACTCTCTGGCCGAAAAAATAGTATTTTTATAATAAATAAGTAAAAAGGCAGTATCATGTGAAGAGAGTGGAACCCACACAGACAGCAAAAAATGCTGCCACTGCTGTGGAGAAAAGTCAGGCAGTCCCCAAAAAACCAGCAGCAGAGTGCGACCCACACACCCAGCAATGGGGTCGGAGAGAGCATTCCTCCCGGGGGGGGGGGGGGGGGCACATGCCTTTCACACAGCCAACCCCAGTTCAATCCCGGCATCCCGCACAGTCCAGAGCAGCGCCAGGAGTGATCCCTGGGCATAGAAACAGGCGTGAACCCTGGGCACCTCCAGGTGAGGCCCCAGAACTAAACAAACCTGGGGCCGGAGCTATAATACAGCAGGTAGGGTGTTTGCCTTGCACGTGGCCAACCTGGGTTTGATTCCCAGCATCCCATATGGTGCCCCCAGCACCGCCAGGAGTGATTCCTGAGTGCAGAGCCAGGAGTAACTCCTGTTATGCATCGCCGGGTGTGAAGCAATTAAAAAACAAACAAACAAACAAACAAACAAAAAAAAAAGGAGCCAGCAAGTCCTCTCCTGTGTGCGGACACAAGAGAAATGAAGTCAGAGGACACACAACTTCATGTGCCCAGTGCCCATCAGCTGGTGAGCGGCGAAGCACACGGCGGAAGCCCCAGATCTCGGAATACACCTCTGCAATAAGGACAGAATGCCAATAGGCTGCAGCTCGGAGGCCCCGGTGACACGGGCCAGGGAGCAGGCACTGGGCAGATGGGCAGCAGTGAGGGGTGGCCTGAGGCTGGGGGGCGGGGGAAGGGAGGGGGGAGGGGCGCTGCAGGTGGCCGGGACAGAACCCTCCCAGTTGGCAGGCACAGGCAGGTGGGGCGGGCTCACCTCTCGCAGACCTTGGCACCTTCGTTCACACTCACGGCTTTGTACTTCAGGTGGCCTTTAGTGCGCTCCAGTTCCCAGCACCAGTCCTCGAGCGAGTCAAACATCACGGTGTGGGTCTCGGGATCGGCGGCTACGGGGACAGGTGGGACGAGACACGGAGCCCTGTCACCCAGCCCGGGCACACCCAGAGCGACCGAGACTCCTCAGGCCCGGCTTCGGCCCTGCAGAGTCCTCCACCAAGCTGCCCTCCCACACACCCCTCGTCATTCATCCAGAATTATGACTGAGGCTCCTTTCATGGCAGAGGGAGGGCGGAGGGAGTGGTCCCTGCTCCCCCCGCTGGTGCTGGCGGAAGGAAGCCGTAGCACACCCCTTTCAGTCCTCGGATCACATGGCAACTTACACAGCATGAAAAGAACCCACGAAGCCCAGGGAGACAGACTTGGCACAGACGCAAAAAATAATAAACGTATTTTTAGCCCTGCCAATGTGTGCCTATGGTGGGTGGATGCATCGGACCCTGGCGTGGGAGAGACAGTGCCAAGCCAGGGGATCAGCACCCGTGAGCCCTGCACCCCAGGGAATGGCAGAGGCACCCAACCCCCGCATGCTCCTCCTAAGAAGACCAGGTCCTGGAATCCAAGAGGAAAACAAAGACGATGCCAAGAAATGGAAGGGGCCGACAGCACCCTTGGCAGGCGTCGGGCGCCTGTTCTTGGCGCTTGGACAAAGGATCAACCCAACTCTCGCCACCACCAAGGAGGCCCGAGTGCTTCCACCGGTCATTTCACAGCTGCGGCACAGAAAGGTATGAGGCCACCTGCCCCTGGCTACCAAGTAGGGCAGTGGTGGAGCTGGGATGCAAACCCAGGCAGCTACCAGGAAAACTTCCACAGACTGATGGATGTGAAAGAAAACGACTCCACGGGCACTGCACAACAGCACCCAGGCACACACAGCATGTGCCTCAGTAGCACCAACAGGTCTGCAGTGCCACATCATATGCTTCGAGGACCTTCCTGCCTGTGCAGGTTAGTGGGCGCTTTATGGCTGAGAATAATTAGCACTTCACTGTAGCACTGTCCTCCCATTGTTCATCAATTTGCTCGGGCGGGCACCAGTAATGTCTCCATTGTAAGACTTGATGTTACTGTTTTGGGCATACTGAAGACACCACGGGGACCTTGCCAGGCTCTGCCTTGTGGGCAGGATACTCTCGGTAATTTGCAGGGCTCTCTAAGAGGATGGAGGAATTGAACCCGGGTCGGCCGTGTGCAAGGCAAACGCCCTACCTGCTGTGCTATGGCTCTGCCCCAAGAATAATTAAATATACTTATTTTTCAATAATTAAATTGCAAGAGAATAATTAAAGGTATTTATTTTGCAAAGCACCCACTCTACAAACCTTCAAAGCAACCCCAGAGCTAACTCGTTCACTAGCATAGATCAGTTTTTACCGAGATATCTCTAAAGACAGACACAGACAGACAGACACACACACACACACACACACGGGGGCTTTGGGAGTTGGAGGCAATGAGGAAGATGGGAATGAAAGATGGGAAGAGAAAAAGGTGCTACGTATTCCGAGCTTTGTGCCACAGAGCCACCGTGAAGCAATGAACTGCTGGCATCACTCAAAGCACAGAGACATTTGGATGAGCTTGAAAACCATGCCACAGGGAAGAGGCAGGATTCCTAGAACAGCCCAGAGCTTCCTAGTGTGGGCCCCGAGTATGTCCACACAAAGCACACAGGCAGCAGAGAGGTCCCAGGTCTCCCGTTCTCGGACCGGGCAGGGTTGATGTGAGCAGTGCCCCGCGAGCTGGCCTGGGCACAGAATCACCTGGAAGGGACCTATTGTTCACAACAGATCAACCGGCCCATTTTTAAACATGTAGGAGCAAGGAACAAATTATTTACCACGTTGGGCCCGAGAGCAATGGTAAGAATTACCTTCTGTTAAGGTAATTCTCAGAACGAGTGTCCTGAGAAGTTCCCAGCGCTCTTTCGACTAGCGCTGATTCCACGGCCGTGCCCTCCGAGCGCCTGCCCTCGACCTGTTAGCTTCACAGCAGTACTTTGAGGGCGCCACAAATAACGCTGCTGCTCTAAGGAGAACCCCGAGTTCCCAGGAGGAGCAAAGTGGCCAGGTGGGTCCTCTGAGCTGCTGGGCACAGATGTGAGCGCAGCAGGACAAGCCTTTGTGGCCACGTGGGCTCATCTGACTTCCCCAAATGCGACCTGCTGATGCAGACACCCATGTCCCTGCACATGACCAGCCTGCTGGCCTCCAGGACCCTGCCTGGCCTCCTCCATCAGCTCAGGCCCAGCCTTTGCCCCCACAGCCCGCATCCTCCCCCAGGGTGGTGGAGGGCTACCTCCCGCTGCTTCGAGGGCCCCCTTCCACCAGGACACACCCCTCAGCTATCTCATTCTCACCTGCTGCTTGTCCAGCTCCTCCCCATTCCCTCCCCCACACCCCCACCCCCGAGCCAGAGCAAGTGATCACAAGTAACTACTAGGAGGCAGTTAATGACAAAGCCACTCCACATTCCAGAGAGCCGCACAGAGGTGCTCAGAACAACACACCGCCTCCCGGGAGCAAAGCCCCCGGCACCCAGGGCCTTTAAACATCAGCTTCATGGGGAGAGGAACGGACAGCGCAAGGGTGAGCATGGTATGATCGACACGAGGGATCATTCATTCACACGAACTCGGCTTCTTACTTAAAGGATTGTTCTAGCAAGGGGTCGGTGGGGGAGGCGCAGGGTGACAGAACAGTGGGTAAGGCTCTTGCCTTACACGCAGCCGACCCGGGTTCGAGCCCTGGTGTCCCCTCTGGTCCCCTGAGCACCACCAGGAGTAATTCCTGAGCGAAGAGCCAGGAGTGATCCCTGAGCGTTGCCGGGTGTAGACTAAAAGCAATTTTAAATGATTGTTCTTGGGGCTGGAGAGATAGCACAGAGTTAAGGCACTTGGCCTGGTACACCATCAACCCAAGTTCGATCCCTGACACCATGCATGGGCCCTGGGCCCTCGGTCCTCCAAGAGTGATCGCTGAGCCCAAACCAGAAATGAGCCAGGAGTGAGCCCTGCACACACCCCGGTATGACCCCAACCCAGAAACCAAGCGACTCAGACTTCCCTGGAACAGACAGAAACACATGTGGGACCTCAAGTTTTTTAACCCAATGAATGCCCTGCCGTGCTGAAGCACAACCATCCCATTTCCCCCCAAAGTATCTGCAACAAAGCATGCTCCGGCTGGTAAATTTTTTCTACTCTACAAAGCATTGCTCTAGAGCCTTAAGAAATGCAATCAAGTCTATGAAAGCGGAAAAGGAGAACCCAAGGACCAACAGAGTTATTTCAAACTTGTCTCAGTGGTTTGCAAATCGTTTCCTGCTCTCCGTTAGGAGATGTTGATTTTGCTCTCTCACAGGAAACTAGCAAATTTAATAAAGAATCCCTCTCAAAAAAGAAACCCAAAAGATGAAAGTGAAAGTGATGAAGATCATCTGAAAGAAACAAAAGCCCCTTCAAGAAAACTTAATGAATCACCTAAGCCAGAGGCAACTAACTTCAAGAGGAAAGCGGGCTGCAGTGGGGGACAAGAGAGGCATGGCTGGAGCGGGTAGGGCACTTGCCTTGCATGCAGCCGGCCTGGGTTCAATTCCCGGCATCCCATATGGTCCCCCAGCACTGCCAGGAGTAATCCCAGAGCACTACTAGGTGTGGCCCGAAAACCAGAGAGATGGAGAGAGACTTACCTGGCCTGTTCGGGGCTGCGGCTGCATAGGAGAACAGAAACAACCGTTTAAGCAGTATAGAAGTTTGGGTGTGATGGATTATGCCACGCACAATCTAGAAAAGAGCCAAGTAATGGAGAGAGTCAGGCCTCTGGGAGACCAGCACTAAGCATCAGGTGTCTGGGGGCGGGGGGGGGGGGGGGGGGGGTCAGCAGGCCCTGGGAGCCACATGCTAACTTGTGGTTCTAACTTATAGCCCTGTGCAGATACCCGCAATGGTCTCTCTGGCACTGATGCCAAAGAAATGGCACTAATGGCACTAAAATGGTTTTGTCAGGCTGCCCGAAGAGTTCTGAATTTTACAGACATTCTGATTAAACCACGGTCTATTCCACGAAGACACATTTTAAAATGAGTTAAACAAAAAGAAAGAGTCATGTGTTCAAGTATTTTCTTTGAATGTTCAAGTACTTCTTTAAATACTTAAGAGAAACTGGGGCGGGAGACATAATACAGCGGGGAGGGGAGCTTGCCGTGCACGTGGCCGATCCGGGTTCCAGATCCAAACACCCCACATCGTTTCCTGAGCCCCGCCAGGAATGATGCCTGAGCCCAGAGCCAAGAGTAACCCCCAAGCACTGCTCGGTGTGGCCCCCAAAACAAAATGAGAAAAAAAAAATACTCAGAGAAACTAAGTGTCATATTCGGAAAATAACCAAGACACTGAGGGAGCTGATTCTCTTTGTCACAGCCTCCTGGGCCATCTGCTAGATGAGGAAAAGAAATCAATCCCTTTTGCTCATTTTCTCTTTACAAAGTGCTGGATCAAAGCATGTTTCACTCTGTGACAAAGGCATCCTTCGGAATGCAGATTCAGGCTTCTCGGGGAGCTCTCCACGAGCCCCCTCTTCCTGCTAAGAAGACAGGCCGGAGTCGGGTTGAGTTCCCTGACTGGAAGCACACACCAACGAAAAGAAAACGCAGGCATCCAGTGTGAAGTCTCTGTGACTCGTTACGGCCAAAGCCAGTGGAGGAACGGGCCTCTTTTGAGGGCTCCACTGCTCTGCTGACCAGAGCGATGGCAGCCAGTGGCCAGCGGCCGTGGGCCTCGGCGGCAGCGGGCCTCGGCGGCAGCACTGCCACACCAAAGGCGAACTCCGGAGTGCTCCCTGCCCCAAGCCTGCAGCAATCCCGTCCACCAGGCAGCCGGCTCCCCGCACTCCCTCCTGCTAACTACCAGCTTCTCCAGCTGTCTTCCTAAGAGAAATCCTGGAAGTGCCCACGGCCACTGCAACCAACCAGTGCACCCAGTTCCACGGGACCAGATCCGCCTCAGCCAGGCTTCCCGGGTGCCTGGGGCTCAGGTCTCCCTGGGGGCTTTGGCTTGGCCCAGCTGACTCCGGGACCTCCTTCTCCACCCCCACACAACCCCAGCCCCCAGTGGGAAACTCGCTCTCCCCGGGAGCTGGGGACCCGGGGCCCACTTCAGGCCACACCCCGCCCCACACTGTCTGCTGATCCTGGTTCACTGCATGCATGACACAGACACGAGCTGGCAGGCAAGACGCCCACATGGTTCAGGGAACTGTGTCTCTACATAGACCAGGCATTGGGCCTTGGAGCCAATTTCCACTGAAAGGGGGTGAAAGGTGCCTCCAACTTCTGCCACAGCAAAGCAATGACCAGCATCAGCAGGGAAAACCTTGGCACTGTAGCCCTGTCGTTCACTGATTTGCCCAAGCGGGCACCAGTAATGTCTCCATTGTGAGACTTGTTGTTACTGTTTTTGGCATAATGAATACACCAGCTTTAAATACAAAGCTTGCCAGGCTTTGCCGTGAGGGCGAGATACTCTCAGTAGCTTGCCGGGCTCTCCGAGAGGGATGGAGGAATCAAATGGAAGCCGGGTCGGCCTCGTGCAAGGCAAACGCCCTACCCGCTGTGCTATCGCTCCAGCTTATGGGAAATAAAACTTAAAAGGCCGCTTGAGAGTGACGGTACAGCGGGGAGGGTGCTTTCCTTCCGTGCGGCCAACTCGGGTTCCACCTCCGGCATCCCACATGGGTTCCCGAGCCCACCAGGAGTGATTCCAGAGTTGCAGAGCTAGGAGGAAGCCCCGGGCACTGCTAGGTGTGGCCCCCCCCAAAACAAAAAACAAAAACAAAAAACAAACCCTAAAACACATGCAACTAGTTACCCTTTTGACTTCCTCTTCTTTTGTGTACCTCAGACAAAAGTGGAAGACGCGGAGGTCTTTGCAGTGGATGATGAGCTTCTCAGGGTATTTCTTCAGCTGTTCAGAAAGGGCTTTCTTCTTCTCATCGAACACTATGCAAGCACAACCAGCTCAGGACGGGGAAAGCAGCCGTGAGGCCACATGAGCACACCACCCTCATCTTTTTTTTCTTTTTGGGGTCATACCCAGCGATGTACAGGGGTTACTCCTGGTTCTCCACTCAGGAATTACTCCTGGTGGTGCTCGGGGGCCATAGGGGATGCTGGGAATCGAACCCACGTAGGCAGCATGCAAGGCAAATGCCCTATCCACTGTGCTATCACCCCAGCACCAAGCAGATTTTTTTTTTCTTTTTGGGTCATACCCAGCAATGCACAGGGGTTACTCCTGGCTCTGCACTCAGGAATTACTCCTGGCAGTGCTTGGGGGACCATATGGGCTGCCGGGGATCAAACCTGGGTTGGCCACATGCAAGGCAAACACCCTACCCTCTGTATTATCACTCCAGCCCCTACGGACGTCTCTTAGAAGTCAGGGGTGGGAGCTTCTGTCTGGGGCCTGGCCTCTGTCCCACAAGGCAACTCTCAGGGTTCTACCCAGCTCCAAACACCAACATGACCACAGAAAGAAACAGCTGGTGCGCTCACGGTAGGTAGCAACCAGGGTTTGGGGGCGGGGAAAGAGTACCTCAGAGAGGACGCTTGCCTTACATGTCTTGGGTTCGAGCCCCGGCACCCCGTATAGTTGCCCAAGCCCTGCTAGGAGTGACCCCTGAGTGCAGAGCCAGGAGTGAGCCCTGAGCATCGGCAGGTGTGGCTAAAAAAGGGGAGGGGAAAAAAGACGAGCAACATCTGGATTTCCCTCTCGGGGATCTCCTGAGGCCACACTCCCTGCCCCAGACCGGGACCCAGGTGCGGAGATGAGGGGCGAGACCAGGACAGGTGTGCGGTTGGCAGAGGAGGTCCCCAGGCACGAGCACAGCCCTCGCTCCCCCACTAACACTGGAAATCGATGGCACACATGTGACGAGGGTGGGCACCTCAGGGAAGGATGGGGTTCCGAGTCACGTGTGAGCTGCGTGAGCTGCTTCCGGGCCGTGACCCCACACAAGTCACCCCATCCCTCTTGGCTCTGTCACCTGAGAAAGCGGTCTGACCCGGGCACACGGGCAGGAAAGGCCTCCGCACACCTGGGAAGGGCCAGCACAAGCCAGCAACACTCCAGCAAGGGATCTCTACTTACCCCCGTAAATCTGGTCCACGCAGTGGAGGGTGATGTCATTTTCTCCAACAACCTTATTCTTAAACTGGGTTTCCTGAGAGTGAAAAGGAAGCAACTGTGAGGACGTTCTACTGAGCACTCCATCTGTGTACCCCAAGACACAGGGACTGGGGGCTGAGGGTAGTGCGGGGCAGTCAGGGCTTTGCACATGGCAGGGGCTGGGTTCAATGAGAGCGGGGGGAGGGGGAGGGACAGAGAGTGAATGAGAGAGAGAGAGAGAGAGAGAGAGAGAGAGAACAAAAGAATGAGCGTGCATGAGAGGAAGAAAGAGCAGGAGTGAGAGAGAGAGAGGGGGGCTGGAGTGACAGTACTGCAGGTAAGGTATGAGTCTTGCATGCGGCTGACCCTGGTTCGAGCCCCAGCATCCCTACAACACAGTACCCCGAGGCCACAAGAAGTAATCTCAGCACAGAGTCAGGAGTCAACCCTGAGCACCATTGGGTGTTGAGTCCCCCTCCCACCCCAAAGAGTAAGAGCGAGAGGAAGGTCGAAGGAGAGTCAGGGAGGGGCTGCGGTCAGCGTATAGCAGGTAGGATGCTTGTCCTGTACGCGAGTGACCGAGTTCTACACTCAGGACCCCACACGGTCCCCTGAGCCTCATGAGGAGTTGGCCCTGCCCAGCCGCGGGTGACCTAACCAAGAGAGACAGAGACAGACGGCGCAAGCTAGTAAGAGCAAAGGCAGTAGAAAGTGAGGGCTGATGAGAGCAAAGGAGACGGGAAAGGGTAGGAGAGCACCAACGCCTGGATGAGAGCTAGAGGGAGAGCCAGCTGGGGAACAAGAGAGAGAGAGAGAGAGAGAGAGAGAGAGAGAGAGCGCACAGAAGAATGAGCGAGACTTACACAAGGGCTGAATGGCTCCCGGTGAGATACCACAATCCTCACCCCTTTTCCCCTCAGGAAACGTTTTTGGGGATCATTTTTAACACATCACGCATAACAAGCCATACAAAATAAAATGATTGAGGACCTGCTTTGGGAACAGGCTTGGGTGGTGGTGGGAAAATTTGAAATAATGGTGGGGGGGGAAGGTGTTATGGGGGTGGGACTGGTGTTGGAAAATTAAACATAATAATTTTTTGTGAACAACTTTATAAAAATAAAATGGGGAGGGGAAGAGAATGAGTGAGAGAGAAAGAGTACAGAGAGAAGGAGAAAGTGAGAACAAGAGAATAAGAAAGGGAGGCCGGAGCGATAGTACAACAGGGAGCGCGTTTGCCTTGCACGCGGCCAACCCGGGTCCCATCCCTGGGGCCCAAATGGTCCCTGGCACCGCCAGGAGTAATTCCTGAACGCAGAACCTGGAGTAACCCCTGAGCATCGCCAGGTGTCACCGAAAGGGGGGTGGGGGTGGTAAGGAGGGGAAATAAGGGCGTGAGCGAGAGAGAGCAAGAGGGAAAGAACCAATGAGAGCGAGAGAGCCAGGCAAGCCCTCCCCGAAGGCGGTGGGGCGGGGCCGAGGACCAGCCCGTTTCTGCCCACAGGCACACAGAGGGCGACAGGGAGCCGCAGGGAAACCACAGCTTCTGCAGGCTCCCGGGGTGAGGACTGGGAGGAAGGGCCGGCCAGGCCACCCCAGAGAGAGCAAGATGCTGTTCCCGACTGTGGGCGTGGGGGCCCCATGCTGGACACGTGTGCGCCCCCCACCCCACCCCACCCTGTTCTTCCCCATCTCACACAGGAGGGGGCAGGAAGGGACCCCACAGTCCAGCGCTGCCTCCAGCCTCAGGGCCTGGCAGACTCTGCATGTGGACGCTGAGGTCCACCAGTGGGGGGGGGGGGGGACGCTGGGGTGCCCGGGGAGGGTCAGAATCTGCGCTGACACGAGGAGGCGAGAAAACAGGCGTGTGACACCAAGCCGAAGAGATGGGACTGGCCAGCGAGCCCAGGGGCGCACCAAGAACTCTGGCCCTTGATGTCTTTCTTGGGTGGTGGGGAAGCCCAGTAAAGGAGAGACAGACGGGACCCTACGGGACACCCCCCGCAAGGTGGCAGGACGCGGCTCCCGGGGGGACATACGTCGCTCTCCAGGCCAGGCTCGTCGTCGCCCAGGAAGGCAATCTTGAAGTTGGTACAGACGAGTCTCCCGTAGATGCCACGCTGGCCGGTGTCCTCCTGCACGTACTTGAGCACCGTGCTGGCCTCGCAGAGCGGAAGCTCACCTGGCGGAAAGGGCGTGTGCCTGAGCACCCAGCCGGGGGCGCGGAGCTGGGAGGGGATGCGGGCTCCTAGCAGGCAGGAGGGAGGTTTGCAGGGACTGCCCCACCCCCACCCCGGTCCTGCGGCTCTGACGCCCACAGGCTTCTTGCCCAGGCCAGAAGGGAGCCTGGACGGCAGCAAAGGGGCGCGACCCACTGCGGGGCATCCCTGCACGGATGTCGGTGCGCCCGCCGGGGTGGGGGGGGCGTCCCTGGGGCATCCACTCTGGACACAGAGGCCTTTGCAGACGGGACGGGAGGAAAAGGGAGGTGAGAGGCCAGTGTGGGGGGAAAGGCCTGTTTCCGCTCATCCCCCGGAGGACTGCGTTTCCTCGGAATGGGTCGCCTTTCCTGCCCTCTCTGCGGGCTTCCTGGAGAGGGGGAGCACTTCTTGAGGCGCACCCGCAGGCACAGAGCCTCTGCAGAGGTGGAGGGGGGAAATGTAAGGACCCTCCGCTCCCTGCAGGTCCCGAGGGCTGGAAGTCCGGGTGAGGACAGGAAAAGGAGAAGGACTGGGAGGGGTGTACAACTACGTGGAATTACTTGGCAACAAAAAAGGACAAGGAATTTTCCCAGCCTTCCACAGTGGGCGTCCCCTCCCCCCTCCCCCCCGCCCCCCAGATGCTCTCTCGGGAGAGTTCCTTCAAGGTCTTTGAATTTCCGTTTTGGCTCAACATTCATTTAGGACAACTTTTTGATAGGAAAACAAAGAATTTCGGCTATTAAGACTAGCAAGGTCCCCTATGAGAGGGGCCCGGGCAACAGTGTGTGTGTGGGGGGGGGGAGTGGGAGCGGGGGGCATTTGCCTTGCACGCAGCCCACCCCGATTCGATCCTGGCATCCCATAGGGCCCCCCGAGTATGGCCAGGAGTGATTCCTGAGCCTGCAGTAAGCCCTGAGCATCGCGGGGTCTGGTCCTCAACAAACAAAGGGACCCACAGTAGCTGGTTTTATTCTCTTCCACGAGGCCTGGCACTAAGGCACACTGGAAGAAGGCTGACCCTCGGCCAGTCACCGAGAGGCCAGAGAGCTGCGAGGACACGATGGAGGAAGAGCCCCCTGTGAACCCAGGGGGAAGCCATGGCGCGAGGCCACCTGTGCTCCCAACTCCAACCTCAACGACGGGCGAAGGTTCACCCTAGGGATGGGTTCATGGCGTGCACCAGACACACCAGAACCCCCACCCACAGTACCCAACACTCCTACGGGCAGCGCCCAGTGCATGAGTAGAGTCGGGGTGCACGGGGACCAGGACGGAAAAGGTCCTAGTCTAGACTGCGCACCTACGGAGGCCATCAGAACCTCTGAACGGCACTCACAACCTTTCCCCACCGCATCTCCTTCCTACAGGTGCCAAGTCTAGTGCTACAACACCCCACCACCCCATTTACTTCATTTTCACCTGTGGTGCTCTGTGAACATCCTGGGCGCTCAGCATTGAGGAATGCTGATCTAGGGGGTTGGGAGAATATGTGTAATATCCACTAATAAGCATGATTTCAGAATCTATAAACCAAGAAAATGCAAAAGAGCATATAAATATGTGTGTGTGTGTGTGTGTGTGTGTGTGTGTGTGTGTGTGTATTATACATACGTTGAGCAAGGCTGTTACTGAAAGAAAAAAAAATTTGTTACTTAAAAAAACTGGGGGAAGGGTACATTTACTGCCAAAGGTGGATCAGACAGGTATTATTATTCTAATAATAATAAGATAAATAAAATATTATTCTAATAACTGGCAGGGTACCGAATGTAGCCTGCCCCCACGGCAGAGTCTGGCAAACTCCCCGTGGCGTACCCAATATGCCAAATACCAGTAACAATGATGGGTCTCATTCTCCTAAAGAACCTTGAATATAATCTCAGGGCTAGGATGAAGGAGATGTTACTGGGGCCTGCTCGAGGCAATCGACGAATAACAGGATGATTTGTGATTTGTGATTCGTGACTTAAAAAAACTGGGGGAAGGGTACATTTACTGCCAAAGATGGCTCAGACAGGTATTATTATTCTAATATTCTGGAATGAAATTAAGAGTACCAGAGTAAGGACTCTCCTGTCTGCTTTCTGGGTCACACCCAGCAGTGCTCAGGGATAACTCTTGGCTCTACACTCAGGGATCACTCTGGCAGTGCTCAGTGCTCTGGGGACCAGCTGGTGACACTGAACCTAGATCAATAATGTGCAGGGCATTGCATTACTGCTCTGGCTCCAGAATTCTACTGTTTCTGAGAAATTATACCACAAAGGCCCTACTTCAGTTGTTTCATGTTATTGTTTGTTCTGAGGCCCCATGCATCAGTGCTCAGGGGCTACTCCTGATTTTGTGCTCAAGAGACGATATGCAACATCAGGGACTGAACTGGGGCCACTTCTGTGCTGGACACATGCCCTAACCCCTGTACTATCTTCTGCCTGTAAAGATTCTATTTTCCTTTTTTTGTTTGTCCTTAGGAAGAGGGTTACACCTGGCGGTGCTCAGGGCTACTCCTGGCTTTACATGCAGGGATCACTTCTGGTGGGCTCGGGGGACCAGATGGGATGCTGGGGATTTAACTCACGACAGCCGTGTGCAAGGCAAATGCCTTACCAGCTATACTATCGCTCGAGTCCCCAAAGATCCTACTTTTGTTTTGTTTTGGAGGACCATACCCAGTGATGCTCAAGGGTCACTCCTGGCTCTGCAGTCAGGAATCACTCCTGGAGGTGCTTGGGGCCCTGATGGGATGCTGAGATCAAACCCGGGTCAGCGGCATGCAAGGCAAACACCCTAGCTGCTGTGCTAGCTGGCCCCCCAAACAGATCTTTTTTTTCTTTTTTTCTTCTTTTTTTCTTTTTGGGTCACACCCAGCGTTGTTCAGGGGTTACTTCTGGCGATGAACTCAGGAATTACTCCTGGAAGTGCTCAGGGGACCATATGGGATGCTGGGAATCGAACTCAGGTCGGCCGCGTGCAAGGCAAACACCCTACCCACTGTGCTATTGCTCCAGCCCCAAACAGACCCTATTTTTAAAAAGCTATTTGGGGTTAGAATGAAGAGAGTGAGAAAAGGATGGAAAGTGAAGCTCATAGGATACACCCATATCTGGCGAGGAGAGGCCACCATGTGGCACCCCTCTCAATCAGAAGCCAGCCACACGGACGGACACCGCTGAGTATCTCTCTTTGCCAGCTCCGAGAGCTGAGGGCCGCCTATGAGGCACAGGGCAGGGACGCTAGGACGCTAGGGCATGGGGAAGGAGTCTGCAGGGCCAGGGAACGTCCTGAGTGTGGAGGAGAAAGGCGAGTTAGAATGGGCCCCACGGGGTTGGAACGATACCACAGCTGATAGGGCAGTTTGCCCTGCATACAGTCGACCTGGGTTCAATTCCCAGCATCCCATATGGTCCCCGAGCATATGAGTGCATGAGCCAGAAGTAACCCCTGTGCATCGTCGGGTGTGACCCAAAAAGCAAAACAAAAATAAAACAAAAAGAAAGGGCCCTGTGTCTGCTGGAGAAAGAGGTGAGAGGGGCCCTGTTGAACCTCCACCCATTTGGAGGAAGGTGTGAAAAATTCTCTGTGGATGTGATCCTACTCCAACCCAGGCGTGAAGTTCCTGGAGATGTCTGTCCCCGTCACCACTGCCCCACTGCCTCTAAGGGGACACAAAGAACCCACACACAGTGCCGTGGGACTGAAGTCATTTCCCGGGCTTGGGGGACCAGGGAAGAAGTGAGCAGGACAGTTACCTGGCAACAAGTGGAGGGTCACTTCCTTCTCGGCCACTTCCTTTTCATTTGTGTGAATTTCCTATGAGAGAAGAGCAAAGGGTGGTACCTTCCTTTGTTTAAGTGCGCAAATAAACAGCCAGGTTGTCGCTCTCTGAGCCGAGAGACGCACAGGGGCTCCGGAGGTTGCCGTTCGTGGGCCAACCCCAATTCAAGCCCCAGCACCACTTGGTTCTCGAACGAGGTGTGGCCCACACACTCTTCCCCCGCCACACACACACACACACACACACAGAGTCACACTTTCAGAGAGAATCTATACGAAAGCATCATAATGGTCTCCAGAACATTTTATGTATGGGAGAGTACGGTGGGTAGTTCCTTTGCCTTGCAAGCAGCTGACCCGGGTTTGATCCCCAGCATCCTACTGGGTCCCCACCAGGAGTGACTTCTGAGTGCAGAGCCAGGGGTACCCCCTGAGCATCACAGAAGACGATGAAGAAGAAGGTGAAGAATTAGAAGGTTCTGTTGATGACAAGTTAGCTACTTCAGATTTTGCTTTGCTTTTTATATTTTGGGGGGGTGGGTGGGGTGGGAAAGAGTTTGGGGGATGGTTCATGCATTTTTTTTTTTGGCATGTTGGAAGCCAGGAGATCAGACATGCAAAACATGTGCTCTGCCGTTCCCACCCAGTCCCAAGCTAGTTGCTTCTGTAGCGAGTTATCTGCATCTGGAGGGAAAAAAACTTTCAACCCATCAGTTCAACATAAGGGAACTACTGAGTCAGAGTGGCTGCTGGCTGCCCCGCGACCCCCCGGGAGAGGCGGCATAGGCACCGTTTCCCTCATGCAACAGATAGGTCAGGAGGGCAGGGTAGGTGCTGCCCAGCGCTGTCCCGTGTCCAGTGAGTCGCCAGAGGCCATGGGCAGGGTGAGGCGGACGGCGTGGGCGGGAGGCCAGAAGCGCCGAAGCCCTGGCCACTGCTTTGTGCTCCCCTCTGCCTTCCTGCCACGGGGCAGTCCTTCCTGCCACAGAGCTTTCTCTTCCTGCTAAAGCAGCCTGCATCCCTCGTGTTCCCTTTCCTCTCTCTCAGGTTATTAAAATCCCTTTCCCTGAGTGGGGGACAAGAGCATGAACATCCAAGTTGGTGCAGCGCTCATGTGGCACACCTCAGGCCCAGGGAAGAGAGCTGGGGACACTCAGGGTGCGTGTGCGAGGGAGTGAGAGCAGGCCGACTCAAACACCGGGCTGCCTCGGTGTCATCGGCTGATGCCCACACTCCCCTCACCCCCACCCACCCCTGCTCTTCAGTAACCTATGACCACATGACCGTGCCACGGGCTGCCACTGCTTCCAGTAAGGAATCGAGTCCAAGCCCTCTCCCAGTCACTGTGTCTCAATAACAGCAGCTCCACAGGGCCGGGCAGAGGGCCGGGAAAGCACGTGCTCAGCCTGCGGGAGGCCCAGGATCCACCCTGGCACTGCAGGGTCCCCTGACCGCCATGCCAGGGGCAGCCCCCAAGCCAACAAACAGCAAAAAAGACACAGGGCATGTCTCTAAGTGCTTCCCTACGACCGTGTTTGCTGGCTATCCGAGCTCATTTCTGATCCTTTGCCTACGGGGACAGAAAGGAAGGTATCAAGGAGCCAGGGTTGGCCCAAACACCTCCCCGCCGCCAGCTCCAAGCGGAAGGACCCCTGGGGACGGGAGCATGACCACCTTGGGACGCGCCCCCGGCAAATCAATCGTGACTGTGGACAGCTCCACCGTCCCATTGATGGCAAAAACCAGGATTTGGTATTGGCCGGAGACGGAGGTACCTGGGTTTTCTGCATCCAGCCTGGAATCGGGGATCGGCTGGGGGCAGCTGAGGCAGGGGGCAGCGAGCCTGCTGCACCTGAGGCTGAACCAGCAAGTGTGGCATTCCCAGGCCAGGAGCCAGGAGCAGGGGAGCCCCAAGAGGACCCCGGTTCCCTCCTGCCTGCCGCCCCCACTCCTGGGCGCTCCAGGAGTACGGGCCCTGGGCTGCCTCACATGCCCGCCCAAGGAGGGGGCAGGTGGCGGGGAGGGAGGCTCGGGGTTGGGGGTGAAGCACCCCTGAGAGGGAGGGACCCTCGCTGGCGGCAGAGGTGAGCGCTGCCAGACTGCTGGGGGCCACAGACCTGCCCACCGAGAGTTCGGAGCTGTCAGCAGGGAGGAACTGAAGCACGATTGTTTCTGACAGGTCTATCATTTTCCTCTGAGGAGACAGCAGAGCTATTCATTAAGCTCCAGGGGCTTCGAGAAGACCCCACCAATCATCCTGGGGGGGCGGGTGTGGCACAACCCCAACACTGACCCCGCCTGGATGCTCCTGGGCGAACCACTAGCCACCGAGGTGGCACCCTTTGAGGACAGATGCTGTCTGTTTCCCTCAGCCTGTCACCCAGGCCTCCGACTCTTAAGCGGTCGCCGGTGCAAACATTCCTTTTATCATCCAGAAACAAAACGAGACTGCGAAGCAAGTACCTCTGGGGCTCGGTCCTCTCCCCCAGACACCTGTTCCCGAGTGGCCCCCACCTTCTGGAGTGAACTGGCCCTCCCTGGCCAAGACTGGGGCCCCTCAACGCGTGCAGTGTCTCATCAGGGCCTTAGCTGCCCGGCTGGAGGTCATGAATTCCTTCGGGTCAGTGCCGGGGACGACGTGGGTTCCTGCTGCATGTCACAGCAGCACCAAGGACAGAGACGTCACAGCCAATGATGGCAAGGACAAAGGTGTGGTCGCACCACCAGCTGGGGTCAAGTTCAGCCAAGGCCTGGGGGCCCGGAGGCAGTGTCTGAGCCAGCAGGGTGTGTGAGGCGGGCGGGGAAGGGTCAGTCTCCGGCCGCCAGGATGGGCGGTAGCGGTGCGGGGCAGACGACGGGGCCTCTGAGGGCTTTGCCCTTGTGGTGTCTGCCCACAGCGTTCCCTGGAAGGTCTCTTGGGGGCAGAGACATGTACCTGCCGCCCAGCCCAGTCTGAAGAGACAATAAAGGTGAACAGCCTTCCTCATCCCCAAGCGGATCCGCTCCGGCACTAAAGCACAGCGATAGGGGTTCGGCGATAGGGGTGAGGAACACTGGGGAGATGCCCCCAAACACGCAGATGCTGGGCGGGCGGGCGGGGGGGGGCAAGCGGGAGATGGTGGCTGAGGGGCTACGCCCAGCCCCGCGCTCAGGGGCTCATTCCTCATGGTGCTGGGGAGTCTCCTGGTTCCAGAGATTGAACCAGGGATTCCTGTGTTCAAAATATGTGCTTAACCCTTTGCATCATCCCTGTCTTCAGGGGGTGTCTGGAGTATATACTGCAATTCTTGGCCTGACTCCTTGCTCTGTGATCAGGGATCAAACCAGAGTCAGCGCATGCAAGGCAAGCACCCGACCCGCTGTCCGACCTCTGCCCATCTCACGCTCACACCCGCGTGCGCGCACACACACACAGAGTTTTTATAAACATGTAGAAAGCTGATGCTGGCCTTCTAAAGAGAGTTGAGTTCTCTACATGGAAATGAAGAAGGAGATTTGCATTTCCAATAGTTTGGCTATTTAAATGTGTCCTCGTCAAAGTCCAAGGCCCAGTGGGGAGTACCAACCCCCACCCCCTAGCACACATAGGACCTACCACCCTACACCAACCAGGGTCTGCTGGAGGCTGCGGGAGTACCAGAGAGGGAAGCAGACCGCAGGAGCCGGGCAGAGGACAGGGAGGGGTGGAGACAGTGCAAGCAAGAGCTTCGAGGGGCGTGGCCGGAAGGAAGGAAGGAATGTCCTGGAATTCAACAGCTGGGCACACACGAGGGGAAAGAAGGGAGAAGGTGGAAGGACACACAGGCAAGGTGTTCGGCGACAGGGGTGAGGAACACTGGGGAGATGACAACCCCATTCCCACACAGGGTGAGGCCTGCAGTGCACACACAAACACACACATCCACATGCACACACATCCACGTACATACATGAACATACACACATGCACACACCGATGTGCTCATACACACACATGCACACACGCACACATATGCATGCATACACATGCATGCACACAGACCCACCCACACATGCACGCACACACATGCATGCGCACACACAAGCACACATACACATGTTTGGCCTTCATCTTGTGGGCAGTGGGGAGCAACAGAAAAAGTTCTGTTGGTTGGAAGGGCGACACCCAGCACGGCTGGGTCTATTCCCGCCTCTGCTCTGGAATCCAGGTACGGGGGGGGGGAGGGGGGCGGGGGTCATGCAGTGCTGGGGATCGAACACTGGACTCCTTCAGGCAAAGCCTGCACCCCGGCCCTCTGGCACCCCAAACCAGTGGTAGCACATGCGTAAAAACTGGGTTAAAAGCTAAAGCCAGGGAGAGAGCCGAGCACGCGGTCTTGGTATTGACCCTCCCAAGACCTGTCCTTGGGCGGCCAGCACAGGGACGAAGGGGTGGCTGGCCACCAAGCATTCAGGAGGACCTGGGCACCCTCCCAGGGGACGTCTCCATTTCAACACCCCAAAGGGAACGGGACAGGGGTGGGAGGGCCCTCCCGGAAGATCCCTGCACCCTCTCGCTCCCCACTTGGACCACCAGGCACATTTCCCCAGAAGAAGCCCCCGCCCCCTCGCAGGGGTGTGCCGGGGTCAGTGGGAACACGCTGCCCCACGGACTCTCCCGCACAGAAGTGACCTCACATGTCTCCTGGAGTCGTGTTGAAGATGCTTGGAGGTTAGCCGCAAGTCACTGGGTTTTTTTTTTGTTTTTTTTTTTGAAAACACATTGACCACACAGAGGAGAGAGGAAAACCCACAGAGTGGTGAGCCATGAGGAGTACCCGGAGGATTTCAACACAGGACCGGGTTGCGAAAAACCAGCCGCAACGCCTTCCTCATGGGGCCCGGGCTTCCTCCTGGACAGCCACGACCCCTCCGAGGGCCCGTGGAGAGTGGCCACCAGGGCTGCAAGCAGCAGCCAGTGGGACTGGAAAAGCCCCGGAAGCCCGTGTGTCCGAGCACCATCCGCTGCGGGGAAGGAACAGAATCCATCCCCGGACACTGGCAGGCAGGGTGGCGGC